ACTAAACAATCGATTCGCAAAACTCGATTGTTGTACTAACTGATTGTCAGTTCCGAATTGAAATAATTAGACCAAGGACGTGTCGCCCACGCCCCGGCCCGTCCCAACTGGTCATAGAGTGCTTATTATAGTTTAATCACATATATGGTTGCATTTTATTTAATGAATGATAAAGGAAAAGTAATCCCGCATGCTCTATCGATACACGCTATTAATTGACCCATCATGATTGATTTATCAAGAATTTATCAGAATGGTTTTCAGATGGGACCGCGTGCAGATCGATCTGACTATAGCTAGTAATGGACCACTAGTCCCCATTATTAATAATTTCTTCCTCCCAATTGTCGCATAATAGTTCTTTGATATATATTATATTATAATATTAATAATGTGAGTTGGATCTTCACCAGTGTACGTCCTGAAGCGAATATACGTATGGATTAACAATTAAAAACACTGAGCGATTATTAAAATAAATCGATTTCAAGTGAATATCACTATTGAATGTTCGTAAACGAAACTCGATTTGAACACAATTACATGGCAGAATACAGGAGAGGCCTTTCCCTCACTAGTCCAGTAGTAACTACAAAAAAAAAGATTTCTACGTTTCCCGCCATAACAAAATGTGTAGCTCTGCGTCGCTAGTAACTAAAAGAAATATTTGTTTGCATTCTATGTAACCAATCCATTAAATATACAATTTTTATACTATGAATTAGATCTTATATGATATATATCGATATAGATATTTTCGAAAAAAAGCGTATTAAAAAAAGTTGTAGAACAATCCGAATATTATATAATTATATTTAGTGTTTTAATCATTTTAAGCGGGTTGCATTGATACATTTTTATGTTTCGTAAATATAAGGGCAGTACCGACTCTTAAATAATGTAGTGGTTATTGGATCTGTGGTCTTAATTTATTTTTAATTGACCTTGCCTTGATGCCTTCGCATTTAACCAATGATGAAGGTAAAAAATTTACACGTAATATTTTCATATTCATATTTGTTTTTCTTTTCATACTATGCATTAAAAAAGTAAGGAAAAAAAAAGGAAATTGTTGTTTTATATATTATGCTTTTTTTTTGTTGCTTTTTTTTATTTTCATTTTTTTATCTCTTTTACTGTGTATTATGTGTATGTTTGTATTGTAATTTGTCTGCTGTAAGTAATGTAAATACATTCTCTCTATCTATCTATCTACTAGCATTGGTGTTCTGTAATGTTACTATAAAATAAAATAAGAGAGTGCTCGATAAGAGAAAATGTTTCAAACTATTAAAAAAAAGCTGTGTTTTCAATTCTCATGTGATATCTGACCCGCTGAGTTGGACTGAGTTTTGTTTAATAATCTATATAATCATAAATGTGCACTCAAGATATCTGTAGAGATCGATTCATTACACTTTAATCTCCAACTATTTTTCGATTTTTTTTGTACAACTTAGAATGGCAAACAAGCTGACGGCCCACCTGATGGAAAGTGGTAACCGTCGCCTATAGACATGAGCAGTACCATGGACATAACAGAGTATAGTGTTTCGCCCATGATACCCCCCATGCGTTGCCATTCCTGAGGACTCAGATGTTATTCCTCTGTACACAGTAAATTCACGCCATATCCCACCCTTCAAACCGAAACACAGCCATACAAACACAGCTGCTTCACGGTAGGAACACGAATGGGACAGAGGTACCCAAGCAATCGACTTTTGTACAAAGTCTCTCTCTGGTTTATTTTTACATGATTAATGAGTATAAAAATAATTATCATCAATGACAACAGTTTTATCTCTTTAATCATTCACTTGCCAGTTTCCGTCATTGACTTTTGTGGTCATCGCGATGATTATTTTCCTCGAAAACTATATTAATGAAATGATTATCAACAAACTTATTAAACCTCATTACCTTATTAAAGTCATTACGGCATTTTTATTGGCATGCAAATTCATTGCTACCTCTGTTGTACGCATATTAGGGTTGCCATCTAAAATATAAATTACGTTTAGCTTCAAATGTTGAGAACTCATAAGAAACGCATCAGTTAGTTTTATCTATTTTTATACAACTTAGAATGGCAAACAAGCTGACGGTCCACCTGATGGAAAGTGGTAACCGTCGCCTATAGACATGAGCAGTATCATGGACATAACAGACTATACTGTATCGCCCATGATACCCCCCATGCGTTGCCATTGCCGAGGACTCAGGTGTTATTCCTCTGTACCGTGTAAATTTACGCCATATCCCACCCTTCAAATCGAAACACAGCCATGCAAACACAACTGCTTCACGGTTGAAACACGAATGGGACAGAGGTACCCAAGCAATCGACTTTTGTATGAAGTCTCCCTCACCTAATTCCTAACTGTTTTTTGTTGGGGGAAGGGATTTTTAGTAATGGGGAGGTTAGTCCCATGTATATCTAAGGAAATGACGAATAGTTGGCAACCCTAACATAAGGAAGGTGCAGTGATTCGCCGATGACTTAATGACCATGGTATAAACGTTGATAATATCAAATTTTTGCATTGACAGACTAATTTTGTAAGAAGGTGCGGTCCATTTAAGAATAAACTAATATGGTAATTGTAAATTATAGATTTTATTTTATTAATATCATTTGTATAGGTATTATTATGAACCGACTTAAAAAAAAGAGGTTCTCAATACGGTTGCATTGTTAAAAATGGGGATCAGTAGCTCCATTGTTAGCAATACACCCTGTCAGGTTGACCTCCTCGCGGTCCCCCCTGGAAACTATCGTGTTGTATTCCAAGAGGGAGATTTTGTACAAAAGTCGATTGCTTGGGTACCTCTGTCCCATTCGTGTTTCAACCGTGAAGCAGTTGTGTTTGCATGGCTGTGTTTCGGTTTGATAAGGGTGGGATATGGCGTGAATTTACTGGGTACAGAGGAATAACACCTGAGTCCTCAGGAATGGCAACGCATGGGGGTATCATGGGTGAAACAGTATACTCTGTTATGTCCATGGTACTGTTCATGTCTATAGGCGACGGTTACCACTTTCCATCAGGTGGGCCGTCAGCTTGTTTGCCATTCTAAGTATAAAATATATATATATATATATATATATATATATATATATATATATATATATATATATATATATATATATATATATATATATATATATATATATATATATATATATATTTTTATAGTTAAATATAATAAAAAAAAAGAAATCTCTATTCCCCGTAAACCCTCATAATTGCGCAACAAGATTAGTGGTTTATGGCGTTTTACTCGTTGTTGGGATGGCAATTTGCGTGTTGCAATTATGGCCATTTTCATTATAGCATTTAATAATACAATATTTATTATTAATAATATGCAAACATAACATACTGATTAAGTTCTGTTTGATATTAAGAGCCGTTTATATATACACAGCACAGTTAATTTATTTAAAAATTAACCATTTACGACGTCCGTCACAAAAAAAGGGAGTTTTAATGCTAAATATGGTAGTATATTTAACTGTATATATGTTTTTTTTTTATACAACTTACAATGGCAAATAAGCTAACGGCCCACCTGATGGAAAGTGGTAACCGTCGCCTATAGACATGAGCAGTACCATGGACATAACAGAGTATACTGTTTCGCCCATGATACCCCCCATGCGTTGCCATTCCTGAGGACTCAGGTGTTATTCCTCTGTACCCAGTATATTCACGCCATATCCCACCCTTCAAACCGAAACACAGCCATGCAAACACAACTGCTTCACGGTTGAAACACGAATGGGACAGAGGTGCCCAAGCAATCGATTTTTGTACAAAGTCTCCCTCTTTTTTATGTATTAATAGTTGTAGCACTTCAGCTGCCCGCTAACGAAATGCTTTCTTACTGTACTGGGTTGACTGGAAGAGATCTCTGTCAGAGATAAGTGCATCCTTGCTCACAACATTTATTCTTACATTATTTTATATGTAACTTACAAGTGCAATAAAGAATGTATATATGTATATACACACATATATGGTATATCCGCTGTCAAACTGTCCAGTGCTGACTAATTTATCGTTGAATTCGTCACGGTGGACTAACTGACCTGCCTTTTCGTCGTCCCCAATCATATCTCACTGGTGTATACCTCTAGAGTATACCGATAGCGCAGGCGGGGTTACCATTCCATTGTCACGATGGATGGAAGGAATGGGCACCGGCGTCCATCTTAAAACTCCAGCAAAGTCTAACTGCGGTCGCCAACCCGCCTACCAAGCGTGGGAGTTCCCAGTAGTTACTGGCAAAACCTTCCTTTTTGGGGAAGGCCTATGTCCAGCAGTGGACAGTAAACGTCTAATATGGTGATGATGGTGATGATTAGTTTTTCACGATTGGACTCTTTTTTTTTAGGACCTAAATCTTATTTTTAAAATTTACGCTAAGTTTTTTTTAATACGATGTCTATATGCATAATAACATATGCACAATAGTTCGTTAAATTGTGCATATATATAGACAGGCCCCAAAATCTACTTGCAGAGACTGATTGGAAAGTGTATTAGGTCCTTTATTATAAGTCCTGTGGCGAGCTCGCGTAAATGTCAACTAATAACCAATGCTAATATGCTAACAACGTGTCGACACACATTTACATCAGCAGTTGGTATTTGTATAACCGCCCTGTATTTATATCTACACTAATATTATAAAGAGGAAAGATTTATATTCTTGTGTGTATGTATGTATGTTGGTAATGAATAAACTCAAAAACTACTTTGCCTATTTCAAAAATTCTTTCATCATTAGAAAGCTACATTTACCCTGAGCAACACAGGTTAAGAGAAGTTTATGTTTAGCAATAAAATACAAATTAATTAAAAAATTGCTTTTTTTATAGTCGGTTAAAAATCTTAATTCTTGTTAAAAAATTGGTATTATAGTTCACTCTTTGTTATTCGTATTTGTGATCTAATTTAAGTTTTAATACGGTATTATTTCCATTGTTACAGCACGCAAACGCAGTACGCGAATCAGCAAAGGTCATCCTGGAATCCGCTGAAGAGTCTGATGACGCTATCACCCTGGCCAAAGCCCTTCGCTCCAGACCACCAGTCAACATGCTTCCAGCTGCTAAAGCTGGTACCTTCTTCGCCAGAGACAACTTATCAAACTTCATAGACTGGTGTCGTTATGCCTTGGGCATTTTGGAGTGCCTTCTATTCGAAACCGATGATCTGTGCTTAAGGAAGAACGAAAAACACGTAGTGTTATGTCTTCTAGAAGTTGCCAGGAAAGGCTCCGTCTTGGGCATGCCAGCGCCTTTACTGGTGCAGATGGAGAAGCAGATAGAGAGGGAATTGGCTGGTGAAGAGTTACGCCCTGATGATTCTGCGTTGGGATTGGTACCCTCTGGCCCTCAGCCTCAGTTAGTGACGAACGACTTGAGGAGTCTGGACGAGAGGGTCCGGGATCTGGTGGAGAGGTGCTCCTGTCCCACACAGTTCCCCATGGTGAGGGTATCAGAAGGAAAGTACAGGATTGGAGATACCAAGCTACTAATCTTTGTCAGGGTGAGTTGGTTTATTTGTTGATAACATATTTTTAAATTATTGCTTGGGTATAAAGAGTATTTAGCGTAGAATCGAAGTCATTAACAATAACATGTTTACCATTAAAAGTCTGAACTGAAAAACGACAAATAATTGTGACTAAGTGATTAAAATTTATAACGTTTATCTTAAAGACATTCTATTCAGCCGATTTCATAAAGAATGTGATTCTCAATTCGGTAGAACATTTTAAGTTTGTTACTTCATAACTCTGTCAGTTGTAAACTGATTGAGAATTTTTTATATATTTTATATTTATAGATTGGTTCCATAGAAAATTTATCAAAATTAGTTCAATAGTTTAGTTTTTAAATATCTGGTTTTATTACAATAGAATTTAGTTTCTTTGTAGAACCCATTCTTAAATTTTATTCTAATTTAGACAGCTGTTAGGTAGATTATTTCTAAGAACAAAGAAATTTAATCGCACTTTACAATAGCATTAATAAATTGGTCACCGTTCGGAGAATCGTGTCGGTACGAACAACACATGCCCTCACGTCTATGCACCAAGTTGGGGTAGTCTCGGAATAGGAACATGTGTTCAAGTTACTGATAAGTTATGGTTTGTACATAATAAATCAATAAATCAATTCGTATATAATAAATATAAATCACTCAAAACACCTGATTAAGGGGTTTTCAGAAAATCACTCTTAAGAAACTAATTCTTTTAAGTTGAAATAATATGTCTGTATTAACAAGGGCTTTCACTGGACACTGCAAACTAAACAAGCATATGGCCCAGATAGGCTGATGCCCAAAAAGTGTTTGCAGATTTTGTCACAATGAGCAAGAAACGCCGCAGCACTGAATGTGTGGCTGTAGCCCACACATACATAAACGATATATCTCCTTTGAAAAACACACTATATCCAGAGGAGACAAAAAAATCGCTATAAAAAACATCTTAAAATTCCTATCATTAATAGGAATTAGTAGCGAATTTTAAAAAAGGACGAGAACAAAAGATCTTGGAAAGGTCGCAGTGTCAAAGGTTTTTCTGCCTGAAAAAGCCCGTAAATAATAATAATAAATATGGTTCAAATACTCTGAAACTCTGACTCCTTGTTTTAGGAATAGTTATAATATACTTCTTAATCAAATTAGTATCGCTTAATTGATACGATGTGGCCTTCGCGGCTTTAATGTCTTCACGTAGGTTCCAACGCCCGCTAGTTCTCTTATCAACGCATATAAATGTATGTAATGCGGTTACATTTTCGTTTCCTGCTCACCTCCAATGACTGTCTGTTTATATTAATTATCTTGTCTGTTTACTGTATTATTGGAGCAATTAATTAATTAAATATTCTCAGAATATATATTGTCTGGTCTTTAAGTTACGATGCATTTATCAACATCATCTCGGCCATTTTCTGTTCATTGCTGAACATAGTTCTCCCCCATAGACTGCCATCCTAAGCTACTTGCATCCCAGCATCGTATTCCCTAAGATGCACTATTTTTGAGTAATATCTAATCTACAGAAAATAGGTGGATCTTAATTGTGATTTTGGAATCTTATTTGTGAAAAGATTGATACAGAATATTACAAAGTAAGAATTACTAATATTATGTCTGATGAATAAGCCACAATGGACCAAATGAGCTGATTTCATCCTCACCTACCATTCCTCACTGGTACCCTGTTAACGTGAACCAATAGCTCCAACTAAGTTACCATTCTATTTTCATTACGAAATGATAATGTGCTTCATGTTAATGTTCTGATAATGTATAGTTAATTGGAGATTAATAAATTGTTTAGAGACAGTGTAATCTCAGATACAGAGACATTTTAGCTACCAGAATGGGTCAGTTATCTCTTCTGTCAAAAGTGTGCTGGTACGTTTCTTGTGAAGGTGCTTCTTGGAGTTTTCTCATGGGAATAAGAGATAAAGGGTTCATAAATGCAAAGTTGCAGGAAATTGTAACTATTCTTTGTTGCATTTGTAAAAAAAACAAGGTACAAGATGTAAAAAGGTACAAGATGACTGTAGTACCTAAATATAGTCATATTTAGAAGGTGGAAAGATTATGGATCTTGTAGGCTTGAGTTTATCTCGGAAAGATGTTTGACTTTTTACAAACCATCCAACCTTGGTAAATGTATTGAGTTGAAATCAACACCTTCTATCGCCCAAGGCCCAGTTTAGTATCTGAGATATCTGACCCTTTGGCTTGATTGACAGATACAGCCACCTAATCTTACTTGACCTTCCAATTTCCGTTGAATACTTCATCAACAAAGATCAATTTAAGTTTAATATTTCACTCAAATTGTTTGCACGAATTAGTTTTGTATACAACTCGTATAAATAACCTTATGTTTTAGAACATAATTTAAATCACTAGCAATCTTTATAGAATACTAGAATTTAGATACTTATCACTGAGATGGCTTCAGATTCTCCTTTAAATCTCTATTTTCATAATAAAATGGCTAATGATATACGGGTCATTAGTAGCAAATTACTTTAAATAGATGTTTATTTTATATTAATTAAATTTATCCTGTCCTGCAAATAAGGCCAAGTTTTCTTAACAATATGAAGCGAATCGATTTGACCAAACAAGGCATCGAGTGTTTCGATGAATCATAGATTGCTTCGACTTTAATGGAATTAGATCGACGTACGTTTGGCCTTAAGCCGAGACTCCTAAATGGGTGTGAGCTTAGCTATTTTTAGAACCATGCTGGTATTTCTGTTTATCTAGCTTAGTTACTATAAGCGGTTTTAAATGCTTTTCGAATTGTGAATTCAGCAAATTTATAAAGTAAGCATAATTTAGTTCTATTCTAAATAAATTCTTTCCTTTACAAGATGAAGCCATGACCTTAGACTTGTTCCAAAAAGACAGTGGATGTAGATTGCCCAGGAACGTCTTTTAGGATCATCACTGGGGGAGGCTTGTCTTAGACAGGGAACAAATTGATAGGTGATGTTGCCTTTAAAAATTTTTTTTTTGTATTAATATTTGATTATGACCTTGGTATTGTTACAGTTTAATACACTATTTCACCTTTGGATACAAACTTAGAAATGTTTGTATTATTGAAAGGTGAAGCAGTGTATTAAATTCACGAGATCCGGCACAAATAATAAAAAAAAAACTTTGCAACTCAAACGACAAATTCTTTACCATCAAACTGACAAAAATAAAAAATCTTGTTTTTTTTTCAGATTCTTCGCTCTCATGTCATGGTCCGCGTTGGTGGAGGCTGGGACACACTAGCTCACTATCTCGACAAACACGACCCCTGCCGCTGCAAAGCCCAGCATCGATCAACACTCTCCGCGCGCCTAGCTCGCCCCAAACAGAGCCTAGTTGGTGCAACAGTCACATACGAACGAGACCCTGGCCCCACCTCCTTACCTTTCACCAAAAATGACAAAAACGATGAACCCATGTCGCTTCAGTACCCTACAAAGCCTTACAATGACTCTACATCACGGATTTATAATTCAAATATGTACAGTGACGCGCCAACCAGTCTTCCTTACTTGGGAGATGTAGATAGAGCATCGTCTCCAAGCAGGAAACAGTTAGGACCCAGAACAAGTCCAGATAGAAAAAGTTCTTCGCCAGACAGGAGACCTAAGATAGTATCGTCCAATCATTTAGTGCCTACACCTCACGGAAATAGAAATAAAAGTCCGCGACCTGTGTCCCCAGCGCCACAGGCGGAGAGCGCGTCTGATAACGGTTCTGAGGTGTCTGATGAAGGGTACAGGAGCCTAGGCGTAGTGGCCGGGTCTACGCAAGGATCACCGTCAATCAAGAACACGAATAGATATTCGATTCTCAGCCAGAACTCTATGGATGATGCTGAATATAACGGTAAGTTTTTTTTTTGCTATTATATTCTCTGGTCTAGGTGTTTCGGGTTATGCCTCCAGATGTTTATAGTTCCTCATAACACAGGAATTCGTGGCTGAAGATCAGGTGATTGGTATGCATGTATTGTGAATTTAAAAAAAAATCATGACATGAGCCGTTCATTGACCACTGCTGAACATAGGCCTCTCCCATAGGGGAGAATTTGCTAATAGTAGCCATGCTAATGGCAGGTGGATTGGCATTCGCAGTTAGGCTTTTGGTGATATTTTAAGCGGGACTCTGCTGTCTATCCCTCGACTGTTAAGTTCCTTTAGTCGTCTCTACTCTCACGTGAAAGGAATAGTGACCCATTCTATGCCGGGACCACACGGTTTAGAATAGAGAACAAAAATATATACAAAACGTTAATAACTCATCCGGAATGAGCATTACAAAAGTTATTTCCGTTGTTTCGCATACTGATCAAATAAATTACTATAGTATGTTACTAACTAGGAGTTTCAGCAATACTAGAGGGGACATGTATTGCGTTACAGTAGGCAATTGAGCGTTTAGTGATCGTTGCTGTTTAATTGATAAGCGAATAGCGATTTGTCATATAGGAGTCCACGTTTGTTATTTTCAAGAGAGTGGAAATTGTTTTATTGTTAAAAGTTTCGTCCGCATACATTATATTTTAATTTAATAATTACCGGTTTAATATACGTATAATTAGATCGACATTGACTGAGTTAGGCTCGTGCTCACATCACATTCGCTCATGACTAAGTATTACGAATCGATTCCGAAACTAGTCGAGCTTTTTCGATCTAATTACACATAAATCAAGCCAGTAATTATTAAATTAGAATTAAAATGGAGTGTTTATCTCGAAGCATAACAAATACATATTAAAATGTATTATGTAATACATTTATAGTATAATAAAGTGTACAAATAAACAAACAAACATGGACGAAATTGTGGATATGTCAAAAAAGATAATCAACTTGGCTAACTAAATCGCTTCTCCGCACGCTACCGCTCGTCCCTCGGCCCGTATTTTTGCAAACATTTCGCAACGGTGTCTACGTCCGCTATTGTCAAGTGTGGTCCCGTTAAATTGCCTGTTACTGCATCAATGGACGTGTGTCGGTCGGTTTGTTACGCTTTTACGCCGTACACAATAGATTTGCGATATGAAAAACTAATTGTTTACACCATACGGCTAGTCTAATGCGTCTAATGACTATATAGTCATCTATTTATGTTTTTTTTATACCACTGAAGTGGCAAACAAGCTAACGGCCCACTTGATGGAGAGTGGTAACCATCGCCTATAGACATGAGCAGTACCATGGACATAACAGAGTATATTGTTACGTCCATGATAACCTCCATGCGTTGCCATTCCTGAGGACTCAGGTGTTATTCCTCTGTAGCCTGTAAATTCACGGCATATCCCACCCTTCAAACCGAAACACAGCCATACAAACACAACTGCTTCACGGTTGAAACAAGAATGGGACAGAGGTACTTAAGCAAACGACTTTTGTACAAAGTCTCCCTCTGGTAATCATTCATATATTTCTTTAAAACATTATCTTTCAAATATGCAACCATATTTTTCGCACATAACATTTTAAATTTTAATACATCACAGTTTTGGTTATAAATGTAATTCCCTGTCGTGTGGAATTCATACGTAATCCAAATATACAATTTCAAATGTACACCCATATTTGATTCACTCGAAACAATGTTTATTTGGCATTCCATTCTATGTGTTGTTTACATTACTCTGTAGTCTAAACTTGGAGAAACATTCCTTGGAGAAACATAAATTGCTCTGGTAAATTCCTTCAACGATGTACGAAAAGTGTTCAATTTGAACATATACATAACCTATTTGTTTATTAATTTATTTAAACTTTAATGCACAGTGTAAAAAAAACAGGGGATGGTGTTCTCTACCAGTTAACCGTTTTTTTATTGGTGGAAAATGGAATAGTAACCCCGCCAGCGCTAACATGATACCCTGGCGGAGCACCAGTGAAGGGTGATCGATGAGGATGAAAACAGGCCAGTTAGCCCATCATGATGAGTTAACCATGATAGTTTCCAGGGAGAACCGCGATGTGGTCCACCTGGTTAGGTATATTGCTAGCAATAGGATTTTCAATCTCCATTACTAACAATCCCTTTCCCCCCACCAGTTAACCGTTGGGTAAACAGCGACATAGGTAGGCGGTGCGATAAAATTTTTTTGTTAATAATGATAATGGAATGGTAACCCCGTCTGCGCCATCAGTATAGACTGTCGGGGCACCAGTGAGGGGTGGTAGATGATGATGAAGCTGGTCAGTTGGCGTATAGTGACTAACGATAAATCAAACACAATAGTTTCCAGGGGAACCGCGTGGAGGTATACCTTATAGAGTATATTGCTAGCAATCCGATTGCTAATCTCCATTACTAACAATCCCTTTTCCCCCTTGCGTTAAAGATATAAAAAAATTTAAAGTTGTCCACAGCTGAATAGTGACACCTCCCCTTTGGGGGGTTTTGCAACTACTGCCACGCGGGGGGAAAGGGATTGGTTAATAATGTGGTCTAATAGCCCCATTGATAGCAATATACCCTATCAGGTCGACCTCCACGCGGTTCCCCCTGAAAACCATCGTGTTTAATTCTTGTCGAATTCATCATGGTGGGCTAACTGACAGGTGAGCTTGACTCTGTAAGAGTTCTTTTCTAATAATCCTTGAGTGGAAAGTAGCATTAAAATATGTTAATTTATCACGCTTACGGCTGAACGGATTCGAATGAAATTTGTTACATGCACCGGTTATATCTAGCTTAGAACATAAAATATTGTATACGAGTACTGATTCACGCGATTATATATTTAAAATCACTATTAAAAATAAACTAAATTAAATACAAGTAAATTTAAATTTACCAGTGGGAGACTTTGTATAAAAGTCGTTTGCTTGGACACCGATGTCCAATTCGTGTTTCTATCATGAAGCAATTGTGTTTGCATGGCTGTGTTTCGGTTTGAAGGGTAGAATATGGCAGTGAATTTACAGGGTACAGAGGAATAACACCTGAGTCCTCAGGAATGGCAACAAAGCATAAATAGATGACTGTATAGTCATTAGACGCATTAGACTAGCCGTATGGTCCTGATCCTCAGGAATGGCAACGCATGGGGGGTATCATGGGCGAAACAGTATACTCTGTTATGTCCATGGTACTGCTCATGTCTATAGGCGACGGTTACCGCTTTCCATCAGGTGGGCCGTCAGCTTGTTTGCCATTCTAAGTTGTATAAAAAAATCACATAAGAAAACTAGTTTCAAACTAAATTTCCAATAATATCCAACATCGACACTAAGTACACTATTTGGTTATGTTATGACCTAACATCACGTCTTCAATATTTCATTGTATTCTAAAAATAATATGCCAAAACTGGTTAGGCGAGACCATTTGTCTGGGATACATTTAGATATGCAAATATTTTCTGTCCTATGTTTAACATATGAGCGGGTTTTTTTTTACCATACATTATATCCGTTGATATACGAAAACTCAAACAATCAAATAAAAGGATGAAAGTTATTTTTAAGTTTAAAGTTTTAAAGTTTAAGTTTTAAGTTAAATTGAGCACGTCCTTTTTTTGAAATCGGTTGAAAATTGGCTAATTGTTTTTAGCTATTTGTACGTTGCTTTCACTTGCTTCTTATGGATCCAAATTCGATCCCATATTCCTCAGTGCGCGGTAAACAAACAGGTCCTTGATTACAATTCACGCTGCGTTACAAATTCTGGCGCCAACTCGCATCTTGTTCTTGGATTTTACTTGTAATTTTAAATTTTATGTTAGCGTTTCTTCGTAACCAGTGCATGGAATTGAATAATACTGTATTCCTATAAATTTATGTCCTTATAAATTTTAAATCTCTCTTGACGTGTACACATTGTTTGTTCTTGGGAATTTATAAATTGTTAAGTTTGATATTCACCAAGGCATAATACGGATAGTTCACTATTTATCTTCACGACCAGTCCGTTGCAGGGTAGATAGAGAGGACTAAATAGCAAAGAATTTTATTCTTAATATGTGTTCGTGTTATGGAGACTGTATGAACACTCATTTTAAACTCATCCCAAAGAAGACTTCCGGATGAAGTCGAAACAAATGTCGGAAGTGACAAACACAGTAAGTTCAGAAAATGTTCTTTATTACACACACATACACACGTACACACACGCAAGCACACGCGCACGCACACATACACACACACACACACACGCGCGCACACACACACGCACACACACGCACACACACGCACACACCCACACACACGCGCACACACGCACACGCACGCACGCACGCACGCACGTACACGCCCGCACGCACGCATACTTACACACAGACATATAATTATTAAGTTAAATAATGAACATAAGTTTTAAAAATAATATATTAAAATTAGCCATAGATATTAAAAGAATCAATTGCTATTAACGAGTTGGATTGCGTTAGGCAACCTTGCCAAGTCACCCTTTCGGTCTGTCAATCAGATCAGCTTTATAATGATGGCCATATGAGGCGTGGGTGGTACACTTCGTCCGCTGGTGACCATTTACGTCTCTCAAGAATGCGGCCTGCATCTAACGATAGCTTCTAACTATACCTACTGGCGGGTTTCGCCATTGTCGCTCCCGCAAGGTCTCGGTAATTTGTTGTTATGGACTAATTTTAACGTGGATTTCACAAGAAACATAACTTTGGTAGTACTTCAGTATTTCTGAAGAAGAAGAAGGAGGATTTATTTATTTATTTATTTTTATTGACTCCATTACAAAAAAATGTGTGGTACAAAAGGTGGACTTAATACTATATAGCATTCTCTCGCAGTCAACCTTTGGCAAAACAGAAATTTTATTATGCAGCAAAAAATTACAACACATACAATGGAGAACTACTGCACATTATGATTATATATATATGTATATATATATATATATATATATATATATATATATATATATATATATATATATATATATATATATATACATGCATGAATACATTAAACAAATATTACTTAAATATACAGATATATATCATAAAACATACATACATATATAAATATACATACATATTTATAGATTATATACTATACTACAGATGTTCTCTATTCGATTGTATTATTTTTTATGTTTGTTAGCATTTGTTGTTTGTTATAATTCATATTATAACTCAGTCAGTTGTAAACCGATTTGGAATTTTTTTTTTTTTATCTCGTTACCTACTTATTTATTCTTTAATTCTTTCTAACCAAAGGTTGTCTGGAAGAGATTGCTTAGCAATAACACCGCCTTTTGTACTATACTGTACTTATTAAAAATTTTTAAACAAATCTTGTAATTTTAGGGTAATAAACTGGTAAATAAGAAAATATTTTTTGTACAATAGTAATAATAATAGTAACTATAATTTGAAGTATGACACCAAAAATATTGTTTAGTAAGAATCTTAGTGAATAAAATTAATAAATATTCCAAAAAATATCAAAAGAGTAATAAAATACTTATAATTATTTGGGTATCCATAGCTACATAGTTATTATTATAAATATATATGTTGTTTGTGTTAAGAAATTACTCTAAATTGACTGTAATTTTTGTTTTTGTGCTTAATTTAATTTATTTTTTATGTACTGTATGAATTTTATTGTACCTACTATGACATTCAAATACAAATAGGTAAATAAAATAAAAAATTTTGATTGGCTGATTATTTAAAAGGTTTTCAACTAAAAATAGATTTTCTTGTAACAGTCAACAAGTTTTAGATAACATAACAGGCCATAACAGACATTTATGGTAAAATTCCATTACGACACGGCATACCAGGAATGGCTAACCATGTGAAATTGGATATTTAAAATAATTTAGTTATTATATCCAATCCTTAAATGGGCATCGTCCAAACCATTGGAACATTACTTCATTGTGATTTATTTTATAATGGACCTTGGAATAGACAAGGAATATGGAAGTGAAAGATTATCAACAGCAATTATTAATGTTTGTCGAAGCATTTTATATAAGTTTTATTATAATAAAACTTGTTTTATGGCTATACAAGTTTTTGCTTGTTTATGAGAGATCTCCTTTTATAGATAGGCTAGTTGACTCGTTATTTGTTTTGCCTCCATCGCCATCTACCGCGTCTATTTTCAAAGACTTCAAAATAAAACAGGCTCTCAATTCGATTGTAATTTTTATGTTTGTTCCCTCATAACTGCGTCAGTTTTAAATAGATTTGGAAAATTCGTTTTTTATCTGAAAGTATATATTTACAGGTTGATCTCGTAGAAATTTTATCAGAACAAGTTCAGTACTCAGTTTTTTTAAATCAAAATATCTGGTTTTATCATCAATAAAGTCGTTTTTATGTGAAACGAAATTATTTCTTATCGCAATGATAATTATTCTATCTTTCAAGCTGTAGCACATTCATAAAGTTTTATTGAAATTGGTTGAATGTATTCGGAGATAGGCGTGAATGACTATCATTACATGGGTTTTTCATATGTCAAAATATGCAACTCAAATATGTTTCTTTCTAATTCCAGAGCGTCTCGACCAAGACGACGGCTGTCCTATAGACAAGAACGAGCGAGTCGACGTTTACGTGAGTTTAACCACTGGCCTTAGGAAGACTGATTTCTCCGACACATTCTACGGAGGCAAAAAGACCAGCTCAATAGACGACAAGTCGAACAGAGGCAGTCCAGAACGGATAGTGACAGAGAGCAACAATTCTCCGAGTAAAAATCTGAGACCATCAAGAGACTCCACGGATTTATCCACAAAAACCATCAAAGGTCGTCAAGCCAGTCGTATTCCTCACTCTCCGGTTAGAACGAGGACGCCAAGCCGTGCGAACACCCCAAGCCCAAAACATGCAGCTAATCCAGTTCAAACGTCGCCTAAATTAGCCCCCAAATTGCCTCCATCCGCTAGAAACACTTGGAGTGGCAGGACTGCTCCCAACCAAGCGAAAACTAAATCTAGGCCAACAATCGGAGCTGATACCTTCGATAATCCAAATAAATCGCCCAAAACAAAGACTAAAGTGGCTCCCCAAAATGAGGCATTCAAAAGGAATTCTCCTCTGAGGGCCAGCAGCGCAACGTTGAGATCACCACCCAGTAATAAAACATTAAGCCCATTATTGGAACACATTTTGAGATCAACAGAGACTGCGAAAGACGACGCAGCGGTTTTAGAAAAGATGAAGGAAATCATCAGGACTTATTCCAAAGGTGAAGACTCACTGTCCAGGACTAGTTCCAAAGACTCTGATTATGCTGACTTCACATCGGCTTGGGTGATGTCCGACGGTAAACTGGAAAGGTCGACCAGTACAAGGCAATTGGCTTCACCAAGGAAAGATCCGAGGAATGGTGCTTCTAGGATACCAGCTCCGGTGTCCATTGGATGCAGGAGGTCTACTTCCACATCGCAGTTTCAATGACAAAACTCTCACGACAGCGAGGGGACAAGTGATAAGTGACCCAAAGACTAAACTGGCGAACTCGAGCTGGTAATTTGATGTTTTAACTGATTTAATTTAGATAGGTTCGGTGTGATAGTAAAGATTCATGTTGGCAATAATTGAAAAGATAGCGGGCGTTCATATTATGGTAATGTTTTTTAATGGAATTTACATTTTTCTATGGTTAGATCGGAATAATTCGAGTGATTCTCCTATTTCGAGAATGTATTTATCATTTATTCTATAATATCTTGCGAAAGTAGGTGTAGTGGACTTCGTATTTTATCATTGATCAATTAATAATAAACTCTATCGTTATTTAATCTTTAAAGTTTATTATAAATTGACAAATTTCAATTTTTATCTGTCTAACCTAGTGTAGTACTAATTATTCTATTGATTAGATAATATGTACTAACAAACTGCAAATTTTTATCCATAAATAAAAAATTAAAGTAAAATGAAATTTAAATTTCTTACACTTCTGCAATTGCATAATGAAATTGCAAAAATTGCAAAAAAGTTAAACTTATTTCTGGATAAAAGATTGTATTTAGATTCGCTCTAAAGTTGGCTAAAAGATGGTGCTAAGTGATTGATGAAATTATGTTTTAATTTTAATTTAAGTTAGTATCACAAATTGACGAACATTTATTGTGCTTAGGTTTTATACAACCTAAGTAAATATATATATATATATATATACATTTTAATTTTGATATAACGACCACAAGTACAATATGTATTTCGTCGAAGATGAATAGAAATTAGTTAATTTAAGTTTATTATAATTTTAAGGTACAATAATAACCCGGCGTAATTTACTTTTAACAAAATAAATAAATAAATAGATGAGTAAGTATCCGGACATTTGCATTTAATATTAAAAATGTATCATTCCATTTTATAAAGCCGGGACATTGGCAATTTTAATTTTCTATATCACACAGTAATCTCAAATCTCGTGTTTTCCTTTTTTTTTTTCTTCAGAATGTAGGTTGTGAAAGGATAGGAGCTTATAATATTTTTGTAGTGTTAAAATTTAAATTACATGTTTGCATTTTTGCAAATATTCAACAAAGTTAGTGTTGACAGATTAGACACATGTGGCATTCTACAATTATTGTAGGGAGGAACGACTCATCCAATATCATACCTCATTTTAGTATACCGCTATGAGTTAAGAAAAAAAAAAACAAAACAAAATATTTTTGCACTAACATTTTAAAAGTTGGAAAATTGCAATTTTAAATTACATTATAAATAAATCACGTCGTAACCGTCCGACAACATAAAGACATACCTACCTATATAGGTAGTTGTAGAAAGTAATTCATACATATAAAATTAGGTTACTTCATTCATTTTAATACATAATTTAATGATTAAGTTAAATTAATGATTGAAGTTATCAAAGTTGCATTGTAAAATTATATTATTAAAAAAAAAAAAACTTTGGTTTGGCATGCATTATTGCATTGAATTATCAGTGTTTATTATAATTATATTATATAATTGCAAAATTTGCTATAATTTCTGTCTAACATAGATATAATCGCGCGTTGTAATTTTAAATTTTGCAAAAATATTAAACAGTTATCTTTTGCAATTTGCAAAATAGTTAAAACAAAAAAAAATTGTAATGCTCTACCTGTTTAATTTGTTATCGTCTATTTTAATAATAATCTTGCTGTCAAATGACATATATTTTATTTGTAATTTAATAAAAACAATAGCAAATTATTGGAATCAATTTCTTAAACAAATATGAGCAATTTTTTAAACATTGTTTCTTCTCAGTACTTTGTTAATTTGTAATAAAATTGAAAATGATTGATTAATTTTGATGTTAATCGTCAATCAAATCTACTTTTTGATTGGAATAAACAGCCAATACTAAATTTTGTTTGTGTTTATTTCACTGGTAAAATGTATTTCTGGCTATTGTTTACTGCAATCAAAAACATTTTTGACCGATTGACTATTTTGATTGATTCAAATAGTTATTGTAATAATTATAATATATGAGAAAGAGGATAGCTTCAAGTCTTGATACAAGAAGTTTTAATACAACATGAAAAACGTTTCTGACTTCCCGTTTTAATAAATTATTAATAAATTAATTAGGCTTGCAGTGAGTAAAATGATAGAGAATTCTGTAAGCAGGACATTTAGAAGTTGTTTAAAAAACTAATTTGTTCATATTTGTTTAAAAAACTAATATTGTTTTAATATCAATAAGGTCTGTGCTTAACCGCCATATGTTTTAATCAATGTAAGTAATTACAGTTTTAAATGATATCAAAATATCTATTTAATTATTTTAGTTGATTATTTTATTGATACATCCATTTTTTGTTTGTATTGTTTAGTTTTATAAAAAAATAAACAATTTTGCCCGAAATATATGACAGTTGAGAACAGGCCTATGTTAGAGGCTAAGATGTAATTTAGTTTATTCCTTCGACATAACGTTACCAGTGTCTATGCCATAGAAATTGTTATAATTCACTGAATAAATCTTAAGACATTGATGATTATTTTTGTTTCATCATCATCACCATCATCATCGTAATATTTAACATATAAATACATTATATACATTTTTTTTATTCAACTTAGAATGGCAAATAAGCTGACGGTCCACGTGATGGAAAGTGGTAGCTATCGCCTATAGACATGAGCAGTGACATGGACATAACAGAGTATACTGTTTCGCCCATGATACCCCCCATGCGTTGCCATTCCTGAGGACTCAGATGTTATTCCTCTGTACCCTGTAAATTCACGCCATATCCCATATCACATATAATAAGACTAATATAAATATATATAAAATATATAATATAAATAAATATGTATGTATGTAATCTTTATCATCATCATGTCTGTCTTTACCTATTTACTGCTAAATATAGGTTTTCCCCTATTGGGAACTTTTGCCAATAATGGCAGGCGGGATTTTTTTAATTTTTTTTAATGGATGATAATGGAATGATAGCCCCACCCGCGCTATCGGTATACACCGGCGGGGCACCAGTGAAGGATGATAGGTGAGGATGAAGCAGGTCAGTTAGCCCATCGTGACGAATTCAACAAGAATTGTTCACGATGGTTTCCAGAGGGAACCACGTAGAGGTCGACCTAATAAGGCATATTGCTAGCAATGGGGCTGTCAAACTCCATTACTAACAATCCCTTTCCCCCCATGATTTTAAGGTTTGACAGTTCAATTATAAAAATGAAAAATTAAGATTGTGACTCAAACGAAAGGAAATGTAACTTCAACCTTTTCTTGAAAGAGGTAATTGAAGGACTCTCTTGTGTGTGGGAAGGGAGTTTGTTCCATAATTGGGCAGCTCGATACGAGAAAGAGATGCCCATAAAATGTGTTCTACACAATCCGTTTAAAAAAGCAACTGCTCAAAGAGTATCTAATATATTCCTAGAAGATATTGATAAAGAAAAAAAATTACCAAATGACAATGTCAAGCAGAGTTCTATGCAAAAAATTCGGGATTCCTTTCGTTCTTAGGTTCTATAGTTATATTGGGTGAAACAAACATCGTAATGCCACTAGTATACATGATGTAACATATAAATATAATGATATATGTGATTCCGTATTTTTGGAAGACAGCATTCTTTCTTCTGATACTGATACTGTTTACTCTCCGTCAGGGGTTTAATGAGAGCCACCAGGAGGTGTTAGGTTAAGGTAAAGTCTTGGATTTGGCTTTTGGCCACAACAGAATATCAGTGTTTTGCTCTTTTGAGGGCAAAGCAATAAGCTGATTTGTGACCAGTCTGTGGCACTCACGAGATTTTTTTTTTATACAACTTAGAATGGCAAACAAGCTGACGGTCCACCTGATGGAAAGTGGTAACCGTCGCCTATAGACATGAGCGGTACCATGTACATAACAGAGTATACTGTTTCGCCCATGATACCCCCCATGCGTTGCACTTCCTGAGGACTCAGATGTTATTCCTCTGTACCCTGTAAATTCACGCCATATCCCACCCTTCAAACCGAAACACAGCCATGCAAACACAGCTGCTTCACGGTAGAAACACGAATGGGACAGAGGTACCCAAGCAATCGATTTTTGTAAAAAGTCTCCCTCTGGTGAAAATTGTGTAACCTATTTTATGTACTTTCTTTTTCTTTGTATATGTTTTGTTTCATTTCTTTAAGTACGTACCAGTAGCTAATGTGACTTGTGTGCTGTAAGTGATGCAAATAAATTATATATCTATCTATCTAAAGGGTTTTCAGAAAATCCTTAGAGTAATTAACACGTTTAAGTAAAAATAAGGGCTTTTTTTTTATGGGTGAAAATGGTATGGTAACCCCGCCTGCGCTAACGGGATACGCTGGCGGAGCACCAGTGAAGGGTGATAGATGAGAATGAAAACAGGCCAGTTAGCCCATCATGATGAATTCATCAGGAATTAACTATGATAGTTTCCAGGGAGAACCGCGAGGAGTTCGACCTAGTTGGGTATATTGCTAGCAATGGGATTCTCAGTCTCCATTACTAACAATTCTTTTCCCCCTATTAACAAGAGCTCTCACTGGATACTATGAACTAAACAAGCAAACTCATCTAAGCTTATGCCCAAAAAGTGTTTGCAGATTTTGTCACAATGAGCTAGAAACGCCTCAGCACTGAATGTGTGGCTGTAGCCCACTCATACATAAACGATATATCTCCTTTGAAAAACATACTATATCCTGAGGAGACAAAAAAGAAATGCTACAAAGAACATTTTATTCATTTTTTTTTTTGAAATTTTTATCATTGGTAGGATATTAGCAGCGAACTTTAAAAAAGGGTGAAAAACTCCTCTATCAATCAATTTAGTATCAATATGTATACAAAGTTCCATCAAATGCTGACAATTACGACCATTTTTCATTTAATTTCTTGACAACTTTTGTAAAAAAGAATTTGTTATATGTGTAAATTTGTTTCAGATTTGAATAAATGATGGAGTTGGATGCCATTTTGCTGGGATTGGCTTTGTATTTGATTCTAGTCGGAATATGTTAATATTACAATTTTATATTTTATACTTGTTAATTTTTCATTATTTTCCTAGTAGCTTCGAAAATAGTACAAAGAAATTTTATGTTAAGCGCCATCTAATAGCACAGTACTGTACTAAAATGTTGTTTCAGTGGTAATAATAAATGAAATTTTCTGTAAGGCTGCCTGTATGAATAATGCTCGTCGTCTCCACCACGGGGAAACACCAGATGTAGAATTAAATGAAAGACAATCCTCAAAACCAGTTGTGAATCAACCAAAGCGAAATCACGGTACTGGTGACGCCCCAGTTAATAGAGTATCACACGTATAGTTAAGAGATGGCACTGTAGACACTGATAAAATGTTTCTGCTATTCAGCCATAGATGGCGGAGCTTAACTATTTATTCAAAATAGATAAATCGAAAGGAAATAATTTACTATTGTAAAATAAATCATTATATTTTAGTAAAACAAAATCATTTTAAATGAGAATTTTGAATGATGCAAAATTATTTTCAAATTATATGCACATTATTGTCATTAAATTGTGTACACAAAGAAATACTGCATTTTATTAGATATATGCTTATAACAATTTATTCTAGGAACGTCTATATAATGAGACATTCATTGTAAATATTCAGAATTGGTTAAAAAAATCACGTATGGTTATAATTTATTGAAAATGCGCTTGATGATGTCTTTTTTAATAAATAATAATGGAATGGTAATCTTGTTTGCGACGCCTGCGCATCGAAGGTGAAGACGAAAGCAGGTCAATTGGGCATCATGATATCATCAAGTATAAACGATGACGGTTTTCAGGGGGAACCGCTTAGACGTCGACCTTATAGGATACAATAATAGTAAAAAACAAATCCTCATTACAAATAATGGTTTCTCACCCCAATGGTAAGTGTAAACCCTATTATATCAATTGACTTGAACAGCACGATGGTGTCATCTAATAACCATGGTAGCTTCTCATGATATGCCATCTCTGAAAGCTTAGGTGTTACGTCCCCGTACTTTGTAATTGTATTGTTGTAATATTATATATTTTATCTTTTAAAACGAAACACAGCCACGCAAATACAACTGTTTAACAGCAGAAACACGAATGGAGAAAAAATGAAATCTTTATTTTTATAAGATATTATGAAAATATTTTATAGATTTAAGCATTTTTCAATTGTTATTTTTTCACTATTTTGCTACTCATTCAGGATTCATTTCAGCCAAGGAGAAAGGTTAAGAAACGCTTAAAAATTATGAATTTTTTTAATACAAATTACTTAGCAGTATCAGATCATAAAGTGCAAAATATATAGTATGTAATTAAAACTAATTAATAAAATAAATCATTTACAGCTCTCATTTCCGAGTAATGAGGGAGATTATCATAGTGATTAAAAATAAAAAGAATATTTATTGTTATAGTATTTATTGTTCAAATTTATTGTACAAAATATTTAATACTAATTAAAGCAGCCTTAATAAATTAATACTACTTATACATAGGTACTTTGTTACTTATAAATTATATTAACCTATTGTTTTTTTTTATAACACCACGACCAAGTTCTAATCGCTAGATTTCACTACAAACATCACAGTGTACATATTAGAAGTACATTTTAGAGAAGAGATTTAGGGAAATAGACATTTCGGGAAATATATAACAAAGAGCATTTTGAAAAGGTTCAATCAAAATGGTTAATTTTTTACTGTTTTAAACATATATGTTTTCAGTATCTACATAATGTTATTTCAAAAGTAACAAATGGGATTATTTTGTAATATTATTTTATTACAAAAAATTAAGTATTCTTCGTAGATTATAATACTGACAATACATAAAAATAAAATAAAGATTTTAATGAAATAAGTAAATCTAAGAAAATAATATCTCTAAGTACTGTAACTATTTTTGATCCCTTCATTATAAAATATTCATACATTTTACTGACGATTAGGGTTGTAAGTTACCTCTATTTTATCAATTACATGTACAAAAAATTCTACATCTAGGTATATGATCCATTATATTTCAATTCCTCAAACTACATTCCTGAAAAGTACGTTCCCCGAATATCCATTTCCGTGAATATCATCGTCATCACTCGCTATCCATTATATCACTAGTTATTAAAAATAACAACATCAGGTAATTTCATATTTAACACTAAATCGATGTAGAGTTTGAGTTCATTTTTCGCTTTTTATGGTATAAAGAAATACGACTAAACAAGACGTAAGACGAAAAATGTCTAATACGGAAATAATGGCAGTAAAACAAGTTACTTTTGGTACGTCTTAATGTTAACTGCATTGTATTGTATTGTTACTGATAACCGCGTAGCGATGCCCTTGGTAATGCAGTTTGGTATTTAACAATAATAATCACAAATTAATCTTCAAGGAAAATCTTGTTCATGGGAACTTTGTCGAATATTTTATTTGTGACGTCCTGGAATACAGAGCTTAGGCTCTTCTCGTACGATTCCTTTAATTCATTGAAGACTAGCTCCGAGTTTTCGTTGAGGAAGCTGGAATTATAAACACATTTTATGTTTTTTTGTTATTACAGCACGACATGTGAGCACATCATTCTGATTGATCACAGAGTCGACATGGTCCATGTAAATATCATTGGTTGGATATACAGCCCAGTGCTGTAATATTGCTTCTATTTTGTAACATTTCATAACAACATCCCATTGTTTGTGTCTATGATAAGTTTACTACTGTAATGTTTTGGAGAAAACAATAAAATGTAACTGTCTACCTAACTATAATATTCCTTCCTTACCTATTCATTCCATACTATCCCATCGCATATCATTTCATTCAATAACAACCCATCCCATTCTTTTCCATTTTGTCCCATTCTATTATATTGTGTAAGAACTTACGCGTTCATTTGGTCTCCGAGCCGCTTGTCCCCATTGAACAAGTTGGAGAAGTGCAGCAGAACTCGTTGCGGTATAAACTTGACCCTGTAGTCTCGCATGTGCATGTATGTGACCCCGTCGCGGGTCACCGGCTCGCCTATTAAGTCGTGTTTTACTACCAAATTCACTGTAAAATAAAATATTTTCGATTAGGTAAAGTCACATATTACATATTTTTTCTGATTTATTTTATATTGCAGGAAATTTATAACTTACTGTGTAAATAATAAGAATTAACCAATTGTAAGATACTGCAGTCATTAGTGAAATTGTTATAGCATTGATAAAGTGAAACCACATTGATTAGGATCATTATAAGACAGTGCTTTGATGATGTCATTAAACATTTTTTCTAAAGAAACGTGCGTCTAAAAATGAGCATATATTTTGAACTCGACTACTGGGCTAGTAGTATGTTCAAAATATTTAACGCTCTTAGAAATAAACGTTTTGTTTCAAAACAATTATAAAGGCTTCTTTTAAAAATGAAAATATTTTTAATTGTTATTAACCGTTCCCTTGAAAACCAGAGACCATTTCGCCGTATTACTACTTACTACTAGCGCCATCTGTGATTAAGTAGTTAAAACTTTTATTAATCTTTGACAACTAGATGGCGTTTTTCACATAAACACTCACGCATAGTAATATTAGCAATCCCTTTCCCCTGGATAGGTAGCACCAGGATCCTGCCCTTCATCACGTAGTCCGCTATGAACTCCATCTTTGGTGTAAGTGAGTCGGTGCGGAGACGGTGATGTTTGAGATCGGCCCTGAAAACGAATTGAGAAATACATAAATAAAATATGTCCACTGCAGTAATCCATCGTATTAATATCCGAATATTCACTTTTTAGCCCAACGTTTTATTTCTTTATTTATTATGTACTATGTATATAGTATTTTTGTATCAACCGTTAACTATTCACTGTCAAACATAAGCCTTCCCCTTGGGGAGAAAGGGATTTTTAGTAATGGAGACTGAGAATCCCATTGCTAGCAATATACCCAACCAGCTCGAGCTCCTCGCGGTTCTCCCTGGAAACTATCATGGTTAATTCCTGATGAATTCATCATGATGGGCTAACTGGCTTGTTTTCATTCTCATCTATCACTCTTCACTGGTGCACCGCCAGCGTATCCCGTTAGCGCAGGCGGGGTTACCATATCATTTTCACCCATAAAAAAAGCCTTCCCCTTGGGGGGTTTTGCGAGTAGTTGCCACGCATGGCAAGCGGGTTAGCAACCGTTATTACACTTTGGAGATGTTTAAAGAAGGACGCTGTTGCCCATCTCTCGTCCTCCCTTAGTCGCCTCTTACGACACCCACAGGATATAAAGGAGTGGCGTATCATATGCCGGGACCACACGTCAAGTGTCACTGATCAGCCTAATATTTCTCTTCTGTAGACAATTTTCGTCTTCTGTAGAGATAACTCATGCCTAGAAGTGAGAAGTCATGGTGCTATGTCGGTTGCTTAGGTACCTCTGTCCCATTCGTGTTTCAACCGTGAAGCAGTTGTGATTGCGTGGCTGTGTTTCGGTTTGAAGGGTGGGATATGGCGTGAATTTACTAGGTACAGAGGAATAACACCTTAGTCCTCAGGAATGGCAACGCATGGGGGGTGTCATGGGCGAAACAGTATACTCTGTTATGTCCATGGTACTGCTCATGTCTATAGGAGACGGTTACCACTTTCCATTAGGTGGGCGGTCAGCTTGTTTGCCATTCTAAGTTGTATAAAAAAAGAACCAGTCGACTTACTTGTAGGTCGTTAGTATGGTGTCCGTGAGTCCATAAAGTTTGATATTTCTGTAGTTTTGCGTGATGACCACCGGCCCAGCGCCGGACTCGATGTTTATAGCGGAAACCTTGAGTGGCTCCATGGAAGGCACCGCCAGGGATGGGATACCTGGAAATCATCATGTACATGTTGATGATTGTTGACTTTTGACACTACGAGAGTCCTAGTTACGTAGTAAGGCAGACATTTATAGGTTTTGGTAGATACCTAATAAATAGTATAGGGGGAAAAGGGATTGTTAGTAATGGAGACTGAAAATCCCATTGCTAGCAATATACCCAACCAGATCGACGTCCTCGCAGTTCCCCCTGGAAACTATCATGGTTAATTCCCGATGAATTCATCATGATGGGCTAACTGGTCTGTTTTCATTCTCATCTATCACCCTTCACTGGTGCTCCGCCAGCGTATCCCGTTAGCGCAGGCGGGGTTACCATACCATTTTCACCCATCAAAAAAAAAATGTATATTTTGATATCACTTAATGATAATTAAAAAAAATGTTACTTTTTAAACATATTATTTTATATATAAATTTTATGCATTTTTTTTTATTATTTTTTACATGTATCTTTTTTTTCTTTTTTTTACTGTGCATTTATGTCTATTATTATTTGTGTGCTGTAAGTAAGTAATGCAAATAAATTATCTATCTATCTATCTATCTATAATTTATAACTGTGTTCCCCAAAAAACAAATCCAATTATTTCGATTTAAAAACTAAACTACTGAATTAATTTTGATAAATTGTCCATTAAAGAAAAAAAACTGTAAGTATATCCTTTCCGTTTACAACTGACGGAGTTATGAGGTAACAAACATAAAAAAAAACAATCGAATTGTGAACCTCGTTCTTTTAAGTCGGTTAAAAATAAACTGTCAGTTTTTCTCATATTGGGTTTGCTGGAAGAAATCTCTATTGGAGATAAGCTCGCCTTTGTGTACTAGTATGTTTGTTTCTCCATTTCAATAAACTTTTGTGTACAATAAAGAATAAAAAATAAAAAATTGTAGGCAAGTTTTGTTGAAATCGTCACAGATATACTTTGTATTAGCCGATTTATTATTTTTACAATTAGTGGACATCAGCAAACTGCTTATTGTCGAGGTAGGTGTCTGAGTGTCTAGTGTCTAGTGTCTGAGTGTCTGAGTGTCTAGTGTCTGAGTGTCCAGTGCCTGAGTGTCTAGTGTCTGAGTGTCCAGTGTCTGAGTGTCCAGTGTCTGAGTGTCCAGTGTCTGAGTGTCCAGTGTCTGAGTGTCCAGTGTCTGAGTGTCCAGTGTCTGAGTGTCCAGTGTCTGAGTGTCCAGTGTCTGAGTGTCCAGTGTCTGAGTGTCCAGTGTCTGAGTGTCCAGTGCCTGAGTGTCCAGTGTCTGAGTGTCCAGTGTCTGAGTGTCTAGTGTCTGAGTGTCTGATTGTCTAGTGTCTGAGTGTCTAGTGTCTGAGTGTCTAGTGTCTGAGTGTCTAGTGTCTGAGTGTCTAGTGTCTGAGTGTCTAGTGTCTGAGTGTCTAGTGTCTGAGTGTCTAGTGTCTGAGTGTCTAGTGTCTGAGTGTCTAGTGTCTGAGTGTCTAGTGTCTGAGTGTCTAGTGTCTGAGTGTCTAGTGTCTGAGTGTCTAGTGTCTGAGTGTCTAGTGTCTGAGTGTCTAGTGTCTGAGTGTCTGAGTGTCTGAGTGTCTAGTGTCTGAGTGTCTAGTGTCTGAGTGTCTAGTGTCTGAGTGTCTAGTGTCTGAGTGTCTAGTGTCTGAGTGTCTAGTGTCTGAGTGTCTAGTGTCTGAGTGTCTAGTGTCTAGTGTCTGAGTGTCTAGTGTCTGAGTGTCTAGTGTCTGAGTGTCTTGTGTCTGAGTGTCTAGTGTCTGAGTGTCTGAGTGTCTAGTGTCTAGTGTCTGAGTGTCTAGTGTCCGAGTGTCTAGTGTCTGAGTGTCTAGTGTCTGAGTGTCTAGTGTCAGTGTCTCTGAGTGTCTAGTGTCTGAGTGTCTAGTGTCTGAGTGTCTAGTGTCTGAGTGTCTAGTGTCTGAGTGTCTAGTGTCTGAGTGTCTAGTGTCTGAGTGTCTAGTGTCTGAGTGTCTAGTGTCTGAGTGTCTAGTGTCTGAGTGTCTAGTGTCAGTGTCAGTGTATCTAGTGTCTGAGTGTCTAGTGTCTGAGTGTCTAGTGTCTAGTGTATCTGAGTGTCTAGTGTCTGAGTGTCTAGTGTCTAGTGTCTGAGTGTCTAGTGTCTGAGTGTCTAGTGTCTGAGTGTCTAGTGTCAGTGTGTCTGAGTGTCTAGTGTCTGAGTGTCTAGTGTCTGAGTGTCTAGTGTCTGAGTGTCTAGTGTCAGTGTGTCTGAGTATCTAGTGTCTGAGTGTCTAGTGTCTGAGTGTTAGTGTCTGAGTATCTAGTGTCTGAGTGTCTAGTGTCTGAGTGTCTAGTGTCTGAGTGTCCAGTGTCAGAGTATCTGAGTGTCTAGTGTCTGAGTGTCTAATGTCTGAGTATCTGAGTGTTTTAGTGTCCAGTTGCTAAATATCTGATGTCTGAATGTTTAGTGTCTGAGTGTCTAGGTAGGTTGAGGTAGTTATTACTTTGTTTATATTTTCATTTAAACCTATTGAATCGAATACACTACATCGGATTCGGTAACCGTTTTGCCTCCTACCACCACCTATTAGGTCCATTTTTTCTTATCACGACATAAACTATCGTTTTTTTTACTTTTGAAATATCCCGCGATGGATCACGATCTCACCTAATGATGTTCTTCACCTTATCTCTCAAGTTAGGGCAAACAATATATATCGACAAGAGTTCGTTGAAATCCGTTGAGCGCTTTCAGAGATTTACGTGAATGTATAAATATTTATAGTATATTTAGATATCTATGAATTTTTGGAGCGAGCTGATAATATGATGCAGGTCACTCCAGATTGTATTAAAAACCCTGAAGCGTTGTACAAGTTGCCGATTCTATCTGACCATATGATTTTGAGAGAAAACGAGATCTGCCTGCTCCATAAATACGGAGACGCGATTGATTTTTAAAAAAAATTGGATAAAATCTTCCCTCTAATCATGTCAGCCGTTAACTGTCTATTACTACCCCATTACTAACAATCCCTTTCCCCCCCGGCATGTAAGTTAGTAATCGCAGTTAGGTTTTGGTGATGTTTTAAGACAGACGCTACTGCCCATCCCTCAGTCGCCTTTTACGACACCTACGAAAAAGTTAAGAGTGGCCCATTTTATCCCGCAACCAAACGGTGAATTCCTTTAATAGTTAGCCATATTCCTTGGATATTGATCTTTTAGGATCTTATAGGATATATTTGGTGACCCCGACGTGATCGATGGAAATGTTATGCAAGTGAAGAATAATACAATATCTCAATACTATTACAGGAAAAAATAATTTACCACGGAATACGAAGTAATTGCCTATATATGAACTAGTGAAAAGGTCAAGCTGTGCTGAGAATTATCGATGTGGAAGATTAAAAAAAAGAAAGTATTACCAATTTGAGTGTATTTTTTCGCGGGGGAAAGAATATCCAGTAATAAATGATCCAAAACAAACTTGCCACAAGTCCAGTAATACTGAAGACACTATGTTTCATGCTTGGTCACTAAGGAGTATCTTGAAGGACTATGATGGGATAACAGTGGATGATATATGATATATTAACTCAACCTCACCTTCCTTCATCTTCCTAAGGGCATCGGGAACAGCCGACTTGAGACAGTCGTTCAATTTCGTGTCCTTTTGTCGGCATCGCTGGAAGTTATCCGCTGAAACAGAAAAAAGGTATGTTATTAATTGACGAAGGACAGCAACAGAAGAAAAAATAACGATCAGGTATACATTGCGAAGGTAGAAGGGTGCAAGTACTCGGGGAGGTTGTTCCCGGCTATAGTTTAAATTATGCAACTTAGAATGGCAAACAAGCTGACGGCTCACCTATTGAAAAGTGGTAAACGTCGCCTATAGACATGAGCAGTACCATGCACATAACAGAGTATACTGTTTCGCCCATGATACCCCCCCATGCGTTGCTTCCTGAGGACTCAGGTGTTATTCCTCTGTACCCCGTAAATTCACTGTCATATCCTATCCTTCAAACCGAAACACAGCCATGCAAACACAACTGCTTCACGGTAGAAACACGAATGGCACAGAGGTACCAAAGCAATCGACTTTTGTACAAAGTCTCCCTCTGGTAAAGATACATATATATTGTCTGTATACAATATTACACTTAAAATAATGTTGACAAATTAATTAAAGTCTTATTGAGGTAAGAACATACCAACTACATATAATGTATTTATGTAAATATAGTTAGTAAAAACGTGTTCCGAGAGTAAAGCGATACTGATCAATGACTATGTAGTAATCGTATTTATAGGTCGCAAACGTGATTAGATTGGACAAGTAACGTAGATCATCACCAGAGGGCGACTGTTTAAACTTCATATAGTTTTTTTTTTCAATGGGTGATAATGGAATGGTAACCCCGCCTGCGCTAAGGGGAACCGCGGGGAGGTTGACCTGATAGGGTGTATTGCTAGCAATAGGTCAGTTAGACCCGATTACTAACAATCTCTTTCCCCCTTTCGCTTCATACATATTATGCATATGTATAGACGTGTAGGTCCCGGCACCGAATAGGCCATATCTTTCTTTCCCGTGGGTGTCGTAAGAGGCGACTAAGGGAGCTTATTGTGGATAGGCAGTAGCGTTCCTTTTAAAATATCACCAAAAGCCAAACTGCGGTTGCCAACCCGCCTGCCAAGATTGGCAACTACTGGTAAAATCCTGCTTATGGGTCCTATGTTTAGAATTGGACAGTTGACTGACGTACTACAATGCATGTGTACTGTTGTACTACCCGTCTTATGTGTTTTTGGGAGACTTTGTACAAGTCGATTGCTTGCTCTGTCCCATTCGTGTTTGTACCGTGAAGCAGTTTCGGGTATCTGTACCCTGTAAATTTACGCTATATCCCACCTTTCAAACCTTCCTCAGGGAATAACACCTGAGTCCTCAGGAATGGCAACGCATGGGGGGTATCATGGGCGAAACAGTATACTCTGTTATGTCCATGGTATTGCTCATATCTATAGGCGACGGTTGCCACTTTCCATCAGGTGGGCCGTCAGCTTGTTTGCCATTCTGAATTGTATAAAAAAAAGGCTGTTCTGTTTCGATTTGAAGGGTGGGACAGGGCAACAACAAAACATCTCTAAAACCTAACTGCGGTTGCCAATCCATCTCCCAAACATGGCAATTACTGGCAAAACCCCCCAAGGGGGAAGTTTAGTTCAGCAGTGGACAGTTAAAGGTTGATGTACAAAAGAGGGTTGACGTCAGGCAGGCGGCCGGTTGTAAAACTATAAGCCAAATCCTTTAGTAATATGGATAAAACCATATTACGCCGACCACAAATAATAATTGGGATAAGGGTAAGAAGATGATGCTTGGTTCCATTGAAATGTTATCAAAATTGGCTGAGCAGTTTAGTTTTTAAATCAGAATAACTGATTTTGTCACATTTGAAGGTTTATTTTGAGCACATTTATGTTTACCAACGTCGACATTGTACAAAAGTCGATTTTTTTGGCATCTCTATCCCATTCGTGTTTCTACCGTGAAGCAGTTGTGTTTGCATGGCTGTGTTTCGGTTTGAAGGGTGGGATATGACAGTGAATTTACAGGGTACAGAGGAATAACACCTGAGTCCTCAGGAATGGCAATGCAAGGGGAACGAAACAGTATACTCTGTTATGTCCATGGTACTGCTCATGTCTATAGGTGACGGTTACCACTTTCCATCAGATGGGCCGTCCGCCCGTTTGCCATTCTAAGTTGCATAAAAAAACATCTTAAATCATATATATATTTATTAAAATGGATTAATAAATATCCTAAAACGTGTAGTGGGTACGGCATTTCTGTAAAGCTCTGCTGAGTATCGTAATATATCGTATTACTATATCTATTTTAATCACCAAGGTCGTTGGAACTAGTCAATAAATAACTGCAATTTCTGCAAGCGACGTGATGTCACTTAGCATAGATGGCATATAGTCAGTTTCAAAACAACTATAGATTACACAAATGAACAGAAGTCATAATACCGAGCCGCTAGAACCGTTACAAGGTCGAGAGGCTGTTGGCTCCGAGTAGTAAGCCTGCGGAAACATAATCGCGGCTGACAACCGATATGTCCTAAGTAACACGGACAGCATTTTACAAGACGCACCAGAAAATATCTTAATTTTATATGTATTAATTGAGGACTAGTTGTCCGCCCTGGCTTTACACCGTTTCCCCTAATAAAGTAATTGAGATCAAATCTTCCCTTTATAGTACAATCATGTAATAAAATAAAATGTTTTTCAATTATTTCCCTACTGTCTTTTGTCTCATTCGCTTTCTTACTTGGAGATATTTTTAACCAAATTTATTCACTTTTACGTACGACTTTTGTAAACATTTTTTTTTTGCATACAAAATTTGTTCAATTATAAATATATTAAAAAATAATTTGTCAAATAAATGCAGCCGTTTTTAAGTGAATAAATTAAGTAATACAAACATTCTGCAATCAACTTTTATTTATATAAAGTTAAGAAAAAATACTTGTCGAGTTATCGTTAAAGTTTGTCAAGTTAAAGTTTGTATGAAAATATATCTATGGCGTCGTATGATCCCAGCATAAAATGGGCCACTCCTTCCTTTTCCCTCTGTGTCGCAAGAGACGTCTAAGGGAACTAAATGGTCAAGATATGGGCAGCTCTCCCTTCTCAATCCTTCTTAAAATATTACCAAAGTCTAATTACGATTGCCAATCCTCCTGCCAAGCATGACAACTTTTGGCAAACCGCTCCAGTAGAGGGAGGGGGAGAAGAGATTGTTAGTATTGAGGATCTAACAACTGTATAGCTAGTATAATACCCTATGAGCTCGACCTCCACGCGGTTCCCCTTGAAACCATTTTGATTAATTCTTTATTTAGCGTCACAATGGGCTAACTGACCTGTTTTCTGGTGCCTTCCCTTACTGGTGCCCCGCCTGTGTAAACCAATAGCACAGGCAGGGTTACCATACCATTTCCACCCATTGAAAAAAGTTGCAACTGCTAACTCTCCTACCAAGCATGGTAACTATAAGCAAAGCTCCCCAATAGAAGGTCTTCGCTCAGCAGTTGGCAATTAACAGCTGATACGACGACAATACCTGTGAATCTGCCGAAGCAGACAGTCAATTTACTACGAATTTGCTTGGGTACCTCTGTCCCATTCGTGTTTCAACTGTAAAACAGTTGTGTTTGCATGTCTGTGTTTCGGTTTGGATGGGTGGGATATGGCAGTGAATTTACAGGGTACAGAGGAATAACACCTGAGTCCTCAGGAATGGTAACGCATGGGGGGTATCATGGGCGAAATACGAGTAGTATACTCTGTTATGTCCATAATACTGCTCATGTCTATAGGCGACGGTTACCACTTTCCATCAGGTGGGCCGTCAGCTTGTTTGCCATTCTATGTTGTATAAAAAAAAACAAGAATTTAATATCGCCAAGAACTAATACCCATATTTAAGCGCAAACGCGCACAGTTGTAATCAACACACGCATTTTCCGGTTTACGTAACCGCCACGCAATGGTTACGGTATAGGATCGAATGAACATGTTACCCTAACACACCGCCTACGTAGCTTATACAGATACGTGTTTTTTTTTTAATGGGTGATAATGGTAACCCCGTCTGCGCTATTGGTATACGCTGGCGGAGCACCAGTGAAGAGTGATAGATGAGAATGAAAACAGGCCAGTTAGCCCATCATGATGAATTAATCAGGAATTAACCATGATAGTTTCCAGGGGGGACCGCGAGGAGGTCGACCTGGTTGGGTATATTGCTAGCAATGGGATACGCTGACGGGGCACCAGTGAGTGATGACAGATGAAGATGAAAGTAGGTCAGTTAGCCCATATTGACGAATTAAACTAGAATTAGTCACGATTGTTTCCAGGGCGAACCACGTGGAGGTCGACCTGACGGGGTATATTGCTAGTAATGTGGCTATTTGACCTCATTACTAACAATCCCATTCCCCCCATACAGATACGTGTATCAGAATAATTGCAGTTACTACAATGTTAAAATTCGTTACATCACCGTTACGAGGTGGTCAGTATGCATTGTCTAAATCTATGTTAACTCCCAATAAATTAAAAGTAGTTTAGTTTTCTTACAGTTGTAAGAAAGTATAACTAAAAACTAAAAAAACAAATAATAAAAATTACATTTGCTCCTTATTCGATAGGAAAGGTAAGAAAATATAGGAAAGAAAGTTTAAACATGAAAAATTTAATTTATAATCTACTCTGTTTATCCTATGATTTATTAAAATTATTTCAAAACATACCAAAATTTTATGAAATACACTTGTATGTATTAAAATAGTGTTCCATAAAAAATAAATCGTACTACAATTGTGGAAAGACGAGATAAATTTGTATAGTATTTATATACCTTACTATGGTATGCAGGTTGTAGTGGATGTAAAGTCCAAAGGCACTTGGTATTATTGAATATTTATTATTTTAAAACTATATATAAAGAGACGACGTGTTATACGTGCTGAGTGGCGGGAGCGAGAGGGCTCGAAGGAACGAGTCAGAATGAATGATTACTAAACAAAATTGATTTAATAACTAAAAAATTGAACCGATTTTGTTAAAATTTGTAAGTATATCCTTTCAGATAAAAAAAAAAAACA